TCCAATATCTGCGAGTCCCTGCGTATGACAATGGCAGTGTTTCTGGGTTTAAAACAACAAATGGAGTTCGATTCAACTAATAATCTCTCTCAAGGCCTTCTTATACCAAAGAAGGTTGGTAGAGGTACTCAAAGGGAAAGCAAAGCTAAGGCGCGATTTGGTGAACGAATCACTCCTCTCTGGAGACTCTGGGTGAAGACCTCCCCTACCCTTACTCTACAACTTCTACTTCTTTTCCACTTGTCCTTCTTCTTCATCTTCCTTGTGAGTCTCTTCCCATTTCTTGAAATCTTCGTCGGTATATCCTTGATCCGCTTTTGACAAATACATTAGGACACGCTCGTCCAGGGGGAAGTGGTTTAGAAATCTGGAGGGAGTGTACTCACTATACGGCTCAAACTTGGCCAGCTCATCCCATCGCTCATTCTCCAGGTGGTCACAGGCCGCGTGCATGGTGCCCTGCGGGAGGTATATGCTGTGTCTGACGCCCTTGTCGTCGGTGTAGGTCATTTCGTTGGGAGCTGCGGTTCGGAGGCGTGTGCCCGGCGGCGGGAGGCAGACCTTGTGTTGGACACCATTTTCGTCGGTGTAGATCACGTTGTTGGGATCGGTGATTGGGGTGGGTCGGAGGGGCTCGGTTTCGGCCTCGTCGGCCTTGACCTCGGCCTTTGCTTCAGGTTGTTTTGCTTCGGGTTGTTGTTTTGGATCCATGATGGGCTTAAGTGGAAGTTGAGTGGGAGGTTGAAAGTAGTTGGAAACCGAGAAGGCTGGGATTCAGACCTGCGTGGTTGATATACGAAAGGCGGAGAGGTGAGTTGGCTGTCTAGTTGTGCTTGCTATGGCATCAATTGGCCTGGGAGGTGCGCATGCCTAGTCTTTATCCACGACCTCTGGTTGGGCGAATCCTTCATTTATCAGACCAGCAGTGCCACCCACTCGCCTAGTCCACGTGCCACGGCAACACCCTTACGCTGTGTGCAACCGAAGTTGGACCCCTGGTCTGTGACAGGTGCACGCCTCCCACACCTACTATAATCCTTCATGGACTGTTGGAGTGAAAGATGGCACTATAATAAGCGGACGGCAGTCATTGGACGAGAGGTAAGTGAATCCTTCTGGTATTCTACAAAAACTTGGCCTAACTCTAACCGAACCGTAGGATGTCACTAGGTCATATGTTGGTCCTCATAGCACACTGACCGAAGGTATTCTCCAAGAAGCAACAGCTATCCTTTTCTTCGTCCTATAAACTAGCTCCAGATCTGATACGTAACAGCAAAACCACCAAGTAACCCGCCACAACTCAACATCGCAAAGAGAAAAGACCATGTCCAAGCGATCATCCATGTATTCACACATCCTGTCCCAAGCCGTTATGCCCCGAGTCAGGACGTGAGTGCGCACTCGACAGAGATATGTCAACCTCAAGGCTCAGGCGTCAATGGTTGAAGTAGGGGAGAGGACGGTGGCCAAGGTCGTCGACAAAGTCGTCGGGGTGCCATCGCTGGCGAGCCCGCGGTACTTTCTGGCCCATTTCGCCGCAAACTTCTCATCGGGCAGATCCACCAGGTCCGCCATGATCTCATGCGTTCGGACTCGGGCCCGGAGACGTCGTACTCATGTCCGTTGATGGTGGCGGTGTTGATCGGGACCGTCCTGTTGCACTCGGCATGCTGCTCCAGGACCGGGATGCGTGCGTTCGGGTGCTGGAAGGGGGAGCGCATGTGAGGCTGGCACTGCGACAGCTGCGCCACAAACATTGTGTGAAAGGGCGCGTTGAGGTAGCAGTTGTTGAGGGCGCCCGTGTCCACGCAGAGCCCGCAGCCGCCGCTGCTGGTCACCTCGGTGTGGACCACGATCCCGGCGGGACCGGACGACGTGGCGCGCACGCCCGGGAAACTGGATGGCGACGGCGGCGCCGGGCAGCATTCGAATGATTCGTAGCGGTTGCAGCCCAGACTGCGTGTTCTGCAGTTGCGGTCGGCCCACCATCGCATGGTGAAGGGCCCATTTTGGGCTGAAGCAAGCCAGGCGGTGGCGGCGAGCAGGGGGAGGCTAAGTTTGAACTGCATATTGAAGATTGGATGGAGCGATTGCTATATTATCTTTGTCTGTGATCTGAACCAACAGGAATTGATGGGTATTATAAAGACATTTCGACTGACAGTGGGACAGGAAGCCAGCTCCTTTATAGACCGGCGACCAAAGCATTTGTCTCTACGGCGAGCGAGGTCTGCAAAAGGCCAAAATCTGCATATTGCGAAGGACGATGATGACCCTACCATGGTAGCGGCAATGAAGGCCATCATATGAGTGATTGGAGGCCGACATACCCCCATAACGGCCTGGGTATGGACGAACATGAACTCGCCGCCCGGGCACGAAAAGACAGCGACCAAAACTTGACCAATGCCCTACCCCGTCACTGCTATTTTCACTGTGATCAACATGAAGTTTCGGGGGAATTTGTGCTGAAGGATTGTTGCGAACTTAAGCGAGTACACGGGTTGACCAAGCCGCTGGGACACGCGGTGTATCCTCAAACGGTGACTGGACTAGGGGGCGTATGTCGACCAACGGCGCTCGCGGGTGAATGTCTGCTCCCCTGTGAGCAGATTTTACCAGTACCTAAGTAAAGCACAGGACGACCGGCTTTCGGGATATGAAGGAACGATCGCTACCATACTTGTTATCAGACCGCCGTTTGTCACAAGGATTCCATTGTGGTCGCAATACCTGGCGGTCCGGACACCCGAACAACATAGGAGACCAGTATAAGGTAAAAGGAGAATGTTGGAAGGATGTTAGCATGAAAGGATAAAGATATTGAAAGGATTCAGCGTAGCTCGGTACCTCAAAGTGGAACAGTATGGTCAGCTATGATGGACTCTACCTCTACGGACCTATATGCACAAAAGAGTAGTGTGATTTCGCCCGTCTTCGGACTAGGTATCTTACGAGATAAACCTCTATGGACTGGACTACGACGTAGGCTCCAATGTACGTGGTATTATCTTGTATACTTCAAGCAGTTGGCTCCTAATCGACCCTTGTTTGCAATAGGCGAGGTTGCAGACATAAGAGGAAGAACTTGTGAACTGTCTTGCTGCATACACGTGAGTCCGTGTCTGCTAGGAGCGCAAACCGCACTGCTTACAATTTACCTTGTGTAAAGTGAACATCAATGCAGCAACAACATTCCATGAATCGTGTCCATGTGGGACACTCGTCGGTTTAGGAGGATTCGCTTTTCAACCAACCAACTCTCATGGTCCCTTGGAACAGCCGACTTTCAGGGGGACTATGAGAGTCGATTGGCTGGCGAAGCGAATCCAACCAGCCGAGGAGTTTACCTACTGGCGATAGTCACCAACCCAAGGGCGTGTTCATGCGCGGAAAAGAGCCATCGTGCATGAGTCATTCTCATGAGTTCCTAGTCGAACTCTACTAAAACGCCGAGAGTCGACCAACACAAAGACTTTGGGGGTGGTTGGTGATGTTGGAAGACTGTGACAAAAAGTATAAAACACAGCTTGAAGTCCTTTGAAAATCGCAACTGGCCATCTGAGTCAAACTTCAATCCCACACCAAACTCACACATCGAACACCATCAACAAACCCACCAACTGAGCCTTGATTCTCATCAACAAGATGCAGTTCATGTCCGCCATCATCTCTGCCTTTGCCCTCTGCATGGCCAGCCATGCCCTGGGAGCCGCCATCGACTCTCCGGTCCAGGACATCGAGGCTGCCGACCCCTTGATTGCCACCGACCCTTGTGTGTACTCCATTATCAACATGAACTGTCAGCAGCGAATATATTACTAACTACTACTCCTCCTCCTCCACTGTAGTCTACGCTTGCAACTGTCCCAACAATTGCTCGCACAAGGCCGGCTCCGGCTGCAAGTACCATTCCGGTCCTTCGGACAAGTCCAGCGTTGTCAAGGGCAGTACGTTACCTATCCCAGAATGAGTGTCTTGTGTGGAATCTGAATGTTGCAGTGGCTAACGTGTTGGTTACCTTGACAGAGTGCGTTGTTCGTGGTGGCGGCCTTACTTGCGTCTCTGGCTGAGTCGAGTGTCGACATATCGGCGGCCCCTTCAATACAACCGACTTGGGGCCTGAGGGTAGAGTTTGGGGCTTTGAACGTCATTTTGATACTACCTAGGTTGTACTATAGCTGAAAAAATATCATTTGGGATATTCAATGCCTACATCGGAGGTCTACTCAGAAGTTCCAATATTCCGTTGCTTTGACATGTGATTGTCGTTCCTTCCGCCTTCCTCTTTGCCAACATTGCACTCTCCGTCATAACCAAAAAGAACTAGCCCATTCCTTCAGAAATTGGCTTAATAGCCACGTGGTTAATGTGTAGTTCTTCACCTGCAAACCCGTGTGTTAAACATTGGATGTCGAATCCCCATCGAAAGTTCTAGGTTGATCAAATCCGGTGTTTACATCGCCCCAGGCTCCTGGACCGCACATTCAATGTGACAAACTGCATATTCCCCGTACGGTACCTTCGCTTGCTGCACCCTTGACGGTACCGAGCGGATCAGTTTATGCTTAATACAACGTCAACCTGTCAGTTCATCGAAGCGAAAGTATTTTGGCCCACTATTGGCCGCTGTGACCGCTGATATTGCGAAGGATGGTGATCCTGGAGGATTGTTGGCGCCTGCTGGCGCCAGTAGCCGATTTTACTTAGACTTTGGTGCTGATCTTCGTGTCGAGGTAAAGGAATGAGTCGCGAATTGTGCTTGTCGGTTGATACGTGCGCTGGGCAACGGCCCCAACCTCGAAACTTTGGTTCGGATTAGATTTGCTCTTCTTCTCGTGGAAGTGTCATATCGTTGTAGGCCGTCCGTTATCTCGTGGCCAGTGGCCTGCCAGCAAAAATCTGCACCGTCTTCACCTAAGTCGCTGGGATTTCTCCTCCAACAATATAGCACGGCCTCATGCCTCCACTGGCAAAGCGAGGCCTGGGCTTGAGGTGCCTGATGTCCTATCAGTAGCTCGGGGACACGTACTTCTTGCTCAAAGTCACTTCCGCGCAAAATCTGCTGGCGGTCGTGTTTGTCTCAGCTATGCAATCATTAATGGGATCGACCAGAAGAGTGGCCCGCGCTCTTCGGCAACATCACCAAATTCTACTCCCTTCAAGGATTTTGGGGCTCTTTTTTTTGGCATCGGCCTTCACTTCACCGTGTTTGGCGCTTAGTCCATCGTCCTTCGTGACAAGGTCAGCGCCACACCATCCGCTCTTTCCGCTTCACCGACATGCTGATAACTGACCGACAATTATGCATCGCAGCCAACGCCAAAACAACAATAGCACCAACAACGGTAACGGCAGTTATTGAGACAAGGCACATCATAAATTTCGGGGCGTTCCGTGCGCTTTGGATTTTCTATCACATGCATGTCCGCCAGCTGCCGCACAGTGTCGAACTGAACTCAGACGCGCAGGTCCAATGTAGGTAGTGCAGGAGTTTCCCTTCCTTTCAGCCACGTCGTATGCACAGTATACTGGGCAGAGACTATCCTGGAAAGGAGGATTAAAATGGGCGGGCGAACCACTTCCCTGAGTCGCGGTACGCGGGTTGTGATTGCCGCGGGTGGTTGGTTACATCTGGATACCTGCTAGCGAGCATATCTTAATGTCTCGCTACACCGTGGCAGTATCGCCCCGTCTATGCAGCTCTAGGTTCCTGAAACCAACAGATAGTACCTCTAGGTAGTAGTCTGCGAAGACAAGCATTCGGATATTCAAGTAGTTCCGGGTGAAAGCGGTCCGACCCTATTGGTAGGGTACCTATGGTTCCACTGTTTCGTTGCACGGGTTGTTGGTTCCAGGACATTTACAAGTACTTCTGAATTGGGTAGGTCGATCTGCTGGTGGTCTGATCTCAGATTCGGCAGTTGCCTCGGAAGCGCAACGGCAATACTCTGCGGGTTTAGGTAATAACCACTCTCCCAGCTTCTGGGTGCACGTGCATCTGCTGCTCAGTTTCTCTTCAACCCGCTGCCGCGTTACCCGTTTGACTGCATGTGGTTTTGATAACAAAACCAGTACAGAGTAACCTTTGGAATATTTGCTCGTTTCTCCTCGCCAAACCTTTCCTCGTCTGAATCTTCGTTTGAATCTTGATCCCTTCTCTTTGCGAGCACTACAGCATCAGCTTGAGCTACTATATGCTTCCATACAGCAATAATAGTCACTACTGATTGAACTGATACATCAACGGCTTGTCTTCAGGTATCAACGTCCCTCCCGTCTATTTCCTCAACTTCATGTTTCAAGCGTGCATATGCACTTCCAACGCAGGACGTAGACAATTTAAAGATCGGCGCGACAAAAGGATTATGGACATAGGCAACCAAGCAACAGCATTCAGGCTTTCCAGCACCTTCCAAGCAACTCTTTCCCTGTTCCGTATCTGATCCTCGTGGGTCGACCTTTGAACCCCAGTCCAGACCGCGATGATGGATAGGGGAACAATCCCTTCGACATGTTCGTAATTTCTTCCATCTGGTTCAGTGTGACAAGGGCAGTGTTCT